AAAAGTTTTACAATATATATTCCATGCACGTAATATGAAAAATAATTATTTAAAATACAATTATTTTTTATAATTAGGATTTTCGAATGGTCAGGATTGATTTGGAAGAATGATTTTCAACTAAGAAACTTTAAGTTGGAATAGTTGTTCAACTTTGAATTTTGTGTATTTGACCTTGTATCGGAGTTTTTATGATTTTATTGGGTCCGAATGGTAATTTTAGACTTGGGCGTATGCCCGTATTTGCATTTGGATGTTTCTAAAAGGTTTTGGCTTGAATTGGCGAAAGTTGACAATTTGAAGGTTTGAAAAGTTCATAGATTTGATCGGGAGTTGACTTCAATGTTACTGGGTTTGGATTGTTGTTGCAGGAGTTGAAATATTTTTTTTTATGTCATTTGGAACTTGTGTGCAAAATTTGAAGTCAATTCGAGTTCATTTGATATGGTCCAGTACGAGTTTTGGAAGTTGAAGGTCTATTAGTTCCTTAGACTTGAATTGGGGTGTGATTAGTTATTTTGATATTGTTTTGTCTGATTTGAAGACTCGAGTATGTCCATGTTATATTTTAAAATTTGGTTAGTGTGTTTGGACGGGGTCCCGGGAATGTGTTTCGGATTAATTTGGACTATGTTGCATTGCTGAAGGTTTCTAAATTCTGGTGCTTTCGAACCTGCGATGGATGGGCGGCAGGTGCGAGGCTTCAGAAACGGCTGGTTGGCAGCAGATGCGGTGAGTGGTTGGGGAAGGTTGAGTCCGCAGGTGTGAAGTGTGGAGCGCAGACGCGCGGATTTCTCCGTAGAAGTGGACTTGGTGTTCCACAGATGCGGGTGGTCGGTCACTTAGTGGAACTCGCAGATGCAACATTTTGGCCCGTAGATGCGGTTTAGCTCGGTAGAATATTTACATCGATTGGTTATTTCTCATTTTTGGAGTTATGGATCTTGGTCGGAGGCGATTTTTGGATGGCGTTTCATCACAATTGAAGGGGTAATAATCTTTACATTATCTTGGTGTTAGATATTGATTATCCATAGATTATTACACCTACTTTATATGAATTAAAGATGAGATTTGGGAATTTTTGGACTATAACTTTGGAGAGTGAGATTTGATGATTTGAGGATCGATTCAGAGTCAGATTTGAGTGAAAATAGTATGGATAGACTTGTATTTGAATGAGTTGTCAGAATTTGTGAGTTTTATTGGATTTTGGGGTAGGGGTCGAGTTAACGTTTTGGTTTTCTTTTAGTATTTGATTAAAGATTTGACCTTCATCATGTGGATTTGATTCCTATAGTATTTAGGCTATGATATGCCTTGGATTGATTGCTAAGTGATGGACTTAAGGTCTTTTAATCTATGTTTTGATGATTTAACAAACTTTCTGTATAGAACCTGATAAATGACGTGAAGCATGCCTGGTGCAATCATTCAAGGTCATCAACTCAAGATAATCTGAGCAGTGTGCCTTCAGATTCACAAGAACCAGATTAGGGACCTGATCCCTTGGTGTTCCCCTGACAGAAGTATAAGTCAACTATACAGCTGGAAAGTAACTGCAGAAAGTGAGTGCCTGCAACTGTACACGCGATAGTACAGCATTCACTTCCCATTGGGAAGAGCCATGTACTAACCAAGAATTGACATCACCATTGTGATATCTTTTGTAGTATAACAACCTGGTGCAAGGTACACGATTTTTACTTGAAGCATTTTTAGTGATATTCCTTCAAGTGCTAGAAACACCTCTCTCAAGAACAAAGCTGCTATAACCTCAAGGACCAGATCCAAAGATTGAAGATATCTTAAATCCTTAGGTTTGTTGAGTCTTTGTTATTTGTTCTTCACTGTAACTCCTATCTTGCTTTATTAGAAGCTTTGTTTTAGGAAACTCAAAATCATAAACCATCTGAGTTTGTGTTGTGACTAGAGTTAGTCATAGGTTGAAGTCTTTGTAACTAGTGAGTGACAAAGTGGCTTGTGATAAGTATATTACAAGTTAGAGTTATTGGAGTCTTTGTAATAGAGTCATTACAAAGTGGCTTGTAATAGTGTAGTTACAAGTTAGTGAAGTTCAAATCCTACCAGTGTAAGTCGTGGTTTTTGTCCCTTTGAGTTGGGATTTTTCCACGTAAAAACCCTGTGTCTCATTTACATACTGGTTCAGTAGTTAGCACTGAGAGAATTGATATAGGACCAGATCTCTATACAGTTTGGTTCATTAGTATTTTCAGTAGAAACTCATAGAGGACCAGGTACTCTATAGTGTGGTGGATCCATATAAACTAACACTAAGCTTCATGATGTGATGGTTCTTATATTTGTACCCCTGTTATGTGTTGTTCGAGCCATGTTTGAGGTTACATAGAGGCTAATTTCCTGATTGAACATGATAATTGTTACTTTCGTGAAGTATTTTCATGATTTGAGCTATGATAACATACTTTGCACATGCATACACCTTAGCATATCACTTACACCTTTTCAGGAGTATGAAATTTGATGTTCATTGATCATGTACGTATATTCTTGCATGTCTGCTTTTTGTGTGATATGTATTGGACTGGTAGCCCGTGACCACACCGGGCGGATTGTGATATTGATCCTGTGACCATGCTAGGCGGATTGTGATATTCAGTATATGACGATGCCGGGTGGATTGTGATATTAGGCATGTGACCATACTAGACGGATTACGATATAGATCATGTGACCACGGATTGCGATATTGAGCCTATGACTATGCGGGGCAGATTGTACATGACTACGCCGCGCAGCGTGTGGATATGGATTCATCCCTCGAGGACCACCCTCTCATGTGATTTCATGATGGTGTACATGAGAATTGAAAAGAGAAATTAACAATTTTCTGGTTAGTGTGGTATGGTAAATCTGATTAGTGGTTTGGTTCGGTGATGGCATCTTTGAGGAAAGTTTGGCCATTATTTGATTTGGTTATTGCATTTCATCTTTACTTGCAAATTTCTTGGTTGCCTACCTGATTTATTTGCATATCTTATTATATGCTGGATCGCTGACTGAGCAGGGTACGTTAAGTTATTCTGCGCACCAAGGTAGTTTTATTTGTGATTCATGACTTAAGAATATTGTTATTCTGTACTTGTTAGAATTATGAACTGTACAGGTGATTAGCGAGTTTCATTTATAATTCTTGCTTCTATTACCTCGTCGGGGTTAGTTATGATACTTGCTGAGTACATGTGGTCAGTTGTACTCATACTACACTTCTGCACTTTTGTGTATATCTTGGAGTTGAGTTGTTGTGGATGGCAGAAGTTGGCATTGAAGATGTACCTATTTTTCGGATATGACTACCACTTGTCCTTGGTAGTTTTAGATTCGTATATGTTGTTGTGTATTTCAAACAGATATTGTATTTATTTTCATAAATGCTTTGCAAATTTAATTCTTAATGGCTCATGACCTGTATTATCAATCCTAGAGTTATTATATAGAAACTCAGTTGTTTCACTTATTGATTTTATTATTATTCTCATTTGAGTTGTGTTGACTGTTGTATGGCTTACCTAGCGGGTTGGACTAAGTGTCATCACGACTAGGTGAATTTTGGGTAGTGGCATTAATTATGCGATGTTTGAGCTTAATTGAGTTATTTTTATATGTAGAATCATTGGAATGCATAAAGGAATGAAAGTTGCACAAATAGATGTTGAAGACACAAGAAAAGAGCACAAAAAGAAAATAATTGGAGCAAGGCAAAGGCACCTCGCCTGGTCCCTAGTCGGCAAATAAATTATTTTCTACTCATTGTTGGACTTGGAGACTTTGACCCTAGACTATACTCCCTAAACATGTCTAAAAAAGGGGTTGGACATTTTTTAAAGGGGAATTCGACCAAGGGAGAGAATGAGCCGCCGTGGAGGCCGGAATTCATCAGATTCCATTTTTCTTCCACCAAACTTAATAATTTTTATGTTTCTCTCTATGATTAGTTGTTTGGCTATCATGTCTATGTGGAGCTAAACTTCACGTTCAATGGTTGTGATTTTTTCATGAATATTATTATTCAAATATTGATTTTGATTTCTTGATTTGTCGTAGTGGTTTATTTATTCAATCATGCGCTTAATTATTTAATTGCTGATCTCCAACCGAACTATCTATGAATTCAGAATTGAACTCAAATGTGTGAATTCTAGATTGCACATAGGATTGAGTAGAGAAAGTTCTTGAACTTGGGCGTCGGGGAATATATTCGCGGTTAGGATAGCCATATGCTAATTGCCTTGCTTGGTTATTATGCGGGAATTATGGATGCATTCTTGTTGATTCTGACTCTATAGACATATAGGCATTAGGTTAGCTTGAATAGGTGAGTAAGAACTCGATAAATTCTTATGAGCAATATTATCCCCGTCAACCAATAAACCAGATAAATTAATTAGTCAATTCAATTGAAGAATATGATAGGAATGTTAGATAACCCATAACCTTAGATCGTTTTCATCGCATTGATAACATAAAAATTTGCTTTTCCTTTGTTTAAAATTCACTATTTGTTTTCATTTTAGTTTAATTATTTAGCATTACCATTTTTAGGTTTAATTCTTGTTTAAATAATTATGATAGTCTAATTTAGTCAATATTCAATAATACTTTCTCGTGCATATACTTGCGTGTGCATTTGGCAACAACGAATATCAAATTACTTGTCATTTCTTTAAGTTACTCCTAATCACTTTTAAGTAATTCTATGTGCAAATATTTTTACCCAACAGTACGTAGAACTTGAACTTGCAACAAAATAAAACTTATTATTAGATATGGATAGACCCTCTATGCGATAGATACCATTCAAGCTGCATGTTGGTTTGAGGGTTCAATTTGCAAACGTGGAATTTTATTATTTGTCAGGTGACTACAACCCTGGGTTATCCTTGAATATTCAAGAGCGATAATGAACATTCCAGAACTATTGTCTACGTTATTTTTCCAAGTGTCCCCCTCTTCAAACTTTGTCCAGAAACTTGTAGACCTCTCTCCTTCATCTAAAGAATAGGTCATCTCCTTCCTATATAAATCCCCACTTTGTTATATATATATTTCCAGCATACAGAGGAAAAAGTTTCAACTCTCATTACCTTCCAACCCATTAACGACCTTCGATAAACAAAACTCAGCATAAACTAGCTAGTGTACTTGTAACGTCCATACTAGAACAAATCAAAAATGGTGAAAACAACTGTTAGTCTTTTGAGCTTTCTAGTGTTAGCAATGGCTGTAGTCTTATTTCTTCCATCACAAACTGAAGGACTAATGCCATACACACGCCCCTTTTGGGACTTGACGTTCCCACCAGAAGACCCTTTCAAGATTCTTGAACAAATCCCACTCACCATCCCAAAAGGGGTCGACACAATCGCCTTAGCTCGTTCAGACTGGAAGGAAACAGGAACAGAGCACGTAATTACACTCGACATACCAGGGATGAAAAGGGATGACATCAAGATCGAGGTGGAAGAGAACAGGGTGTTGAAAGTCAGCGGGGAAAGGAAAATAGAGGAAGAAGTTGAAGGAGAAAAGTGGCACAGAGCTGAGAGGACTTCTGGGAAATTCTGGAGACAGTTTAGGTTACCTGGGAATGCAGATTTGGAACACATAAAGGCTCATTTGGAAAATGGTGTCTTGAAGATTACTGTGCCAAAGTTGGCTGAAGAGACGAAGAAGCAGACAAAGGTGATTAATATTGCTGAGGAAGGTAATTCTGCTGGTGGTGAGGATATTAAAGCTACCAAAGCTGAGATGTAAATTAACAAGTATAAACCGCGCCGTCTGTTAGTCAGTCTAATGTTTTGGTTTGTTTATCATCTCAGTTGTGTTTTTGTTTTGTGAGCTTCTAATAAAGTTCTCAGAAGTATGTAATTGGGTGTTTGATTCTGATTAACTAAATCCACTCGGATTTATCACATTTGTGTTCTTTTTTAGTTCTTCAATCTATATATTATTGCAAGTACAATGCTATATATGTAGCATGTGTATCTTGAAACATAGTAATTGGGTTTTGACTTCCACACATTTCTTCGTTTTCTGTTTTTCTTTATTAGTTTATTGGATCCCTAACGTGCTGTTATTAATATAGAAATAGAAGGCCAATGGAACCTTGATAAACTGATCAAGAACAAAGTGCGAGTTGATGATACGTAGTGTGAAACCTTTGGCGCCGAACTTCCCAAAAATGGCGCGTCATAGTATATGCTTATCTACTGGTGCTCTTGTTGCCTTATTCAACTTCTATGCCATTTCCGTTATGCAGAGGGAAAAATCGATTCTCGCTACATTACATAGACATTGTGAGGAATAATGGATATATGCCCTGCTTCAGCATCATATCTATTTTATGCATATGGTAAAGTTAAGTGACATGAGGTCACGGGTTCTGTAAACAACCTTGACGAGAGATGCAGGATAATATTGCGTACGATAGAGCCTTGTAGCCCGGCCCTTCCCCGGACCTCACGCATAGGGGAGCTTAGTGCACCGGGCTAACATGATTTATTCGGAAAACAAAAAACGTAGTAGTAATTATATCACATACAAGATCTCTATTTTTATTTGGAAAGAGACAGATTTCTAGTTGTAAAAAAGGCAAATCCTCAACCGCTAAAGGACCTAGGAATAAAAACCCTCGTACATTATTTGAGAAAACGAGCTAGTTCCAAAATAATCCTGCTCAAAAGCCACTGAGAACCTCTCTTATACACATAGCAAAAAGTGGATTAGTTTTACTATATCCTCCATCAATCATTAGGTTCAATCCACTCACATACTTAGACTCATCACTTGCCAAATAAATTGCAGCTGCTGCAACATCCTCAACCTCTAACTTTGCTTCCTTCAGATTAGCCGATTTCATAACTGCCTCGTCCACCTTACTCTGATCAATTCCCCCAACAAATTTAGACACCATTGGAGTAGCTACCACAGATGGTGTAATGCAATTTACTCTTATCCCATATTGTCCCAATTCTGCGCATAAATTGTTGGCTAATCCAATTACAGCGTGCTTAGATGAAGCGTAAGTGTGCGGTGACATCCCTGCTACAACGGCTGTCACACTCGCGGTGAAGAGAATGCAGCCTGTTTTGGCAGGGATCATCACGCGGGCTGCATGTTTAGCGCCAAGGAAGGCGCCAAACACGTTGATATCGAATACTTTTTTCAAGTTTTCGTAGTCTGTGGTTGTAATTCTTGGATCGATGCTTCCCGTTACGCCTGCATTGTTGTACATGATGTCGAGCTTACCATATTTTGAGACTGCAAAATCTATTGCCTTCTCGACTTGGATTTCGTTGGTAACATCGCAATGGACGTACGATATGTGGTCTGGGCCGATTTCGTTGCAGAGTGAATGGCCAAGATCGTCTTGAACATCAAGAAGTACAACCTTGGCACCATTTTTGACGAAAAACTTAGCCGTGGTAGCACCAATTCCACTTGCACCTCCAGTGATGACTGCTACTTTACCTTCTAGTCTGCAATGTTAAAATGGCAAAACCAAATGAGAGAAGGAAAGGAAAAAACAGAGAATATCAGGAAAATCTATATTGAATATTATACCCACTGTTTAAGTTTATGTGATTTAATTTGACTGAGCACCGAGCACGGAGTAAGAAAGAAAGGAAAACTAATCTTATATATGACATAATATTTATATGGCTATAACGCTATAAAACTTTTAAAACTAGTGGTCTTACATATGATATAACAATTGTGTGACTACAAAAACTTTCCATTACAGGTAAAATGAGACGTTGAAGTTAAATTATTTTTCAAATATTAAAAAATGTCATTCTTTTTGAAACAGACTAATAAGAAAATAATTTCATTCCTTTTGCAAAGAAGGGGCCGAGGGAGTAGTTATTTAAATTATGTTTTTTTTTTCACAGACAGGGGCTTGAAAGAAGAATAATTAAAAGAAATATTCGAGTTAGGTGATGAATACCTTTTGGCTGATGTAGTGGCTGAACTGCTGTTGCTGGTCATATTTGATGACAAGATTCAAGAAATAATGACTTCACAAGTTGTTCTCTGAATCTCTGCTATGTGTTGAGTTCTATTGTTCAGTTTCTTACTTGGTTAAGCTTTATAGTAGTACATGGTGGCCATACCATGTCCGGAATGAAGAAAATTCAAATATTAAATTAAAAAATGCAAAGAAATCCTTGCAAATGGGTTGGAATATGAGAGAGCAGGAGTTTTAATTTGACTGTGAACTGAAAGTCCCAACTGGTCTTTCTTGTCTGCTAGATATATTTTATTTTTCAAGCAGGGTTCTTCTTCTTTCTTTAATTTATTGGTCTCTAATTTTAGAATGTAGAAAATTGTAGCGCATCACCTTCAAAGTCAATAAGATTGAGCGCTGATGATTATTTACTTACTTGGCGACTTGAACTAATATATACTTTCTTTTGAAAATTAAGGACATAGTATACATCTAGATTAACTGCACTTGGTTAAACTTTGAGTTGGGTGATAATTCAAATGACATTTATTTAATTTTGAACAAATCCTTAAATTCTTCATAGTGACTACAGAGTAGTAGTGTCAAGGGCCTCTATTCAACTAAATCTCCAGTTTCTTCCGCTTTGTACATTGAACCACTAGATAATTTACCTAATCTCTTTGTTGTCCGGTTTTTCGTCACCGTTGAAGGTATGCTTTATTAAATTTCGCATGACACATGATCATTTCGATCCTAACAGGTACCTCGAAAAATAAGGGTGCATTTTGTTCAAGCAAGTTGCTGCACGGAGGTGGCAGGAATCGGATCACATACTTATGTTGCAACAGCTGTAGGGATGTGCATGCAAGAATTTGGCTACTGAGCTAGGATTACACTGCTTCAACGTCATCTTCGGTTTCTTTTTCGTTAAGGACCACTGTATCCAGCTCTGCAGGGATCACCTCTTAGATCGGAGGCTATGTTTTCTCCCCAACTTTGGAAGAGAGTTTTCTTCTAGCCCTCTTCTCCTGAGGTTGGGGACTGGCGGATGATGCAGCTCCACCGGAAGAAGATCCCGCTTCACGAGCCCTTTTTTGGTCAAGGACTTGTTAAGTTGTTGTTGAGTCACCTTCGAGTCAAATGAAATATCGACGACCGAGCAAACAGATGATCCCTTGGGAAGGCCTGATAAAAGCAAAATGCAAAGATCACAAGTCTATTGTAAAAGAAGGTACACGCTAACGAGGAGGTTGAATGAATGTATTCTCACCATGATTCTTAAACTTCTAATTTTCTTTCCACGTACGGAGTTCTGGTATGAAAGTATCCAAAACTTTTTGAATCCACCGGGGTAGGTCTTCAACTACTAAAGGACCCAGTGGGTAGCTAAAAAGAAGAAGAGAAAGAAGTGTAAAGAGGATGGAGAAGTCTTAAAAAAAACATGCATATAAGAGAACAAATGAGTATAGTTCCATGTCTCGGGAATTGAAGGTCCCGACGAGGGTATGATGTCCTTGGAAGCGATGGCATCAAACTTTTCCATCCAACCATAGTCATTGTCATCACCCAAACTGGTGATGATGGCATTATGACCACGCTTGATGAGTTTGATCATGCCTCCTCGAATGATCTTGGGAGAGTAGATAGATTAGGCGTGCTAGGGAGAGACTTTTTTTGTGCCCGAGAGGTTAGATACCGTAGGCAAGATACCGTACGTCATACTGCCGGACCTAGTTAAGCTAAGCAGACTTGGTAATTTCCGGCAAAAGTCAAGGATGACTGGATCAATTTCGTGCCCGATCTTGAGGGTGAAAGGATAAGTAAAAATATACCCAAATTTACTGAAGGTTACCCTCTCCACGTCTAGACGGGCCAACACTTGCATATTTTTCCAGCCAAAATCCTGTTTCACAATGGAAATGTTGGCTAGTGGAATAGAAGAAGGGTACTCGTTGATTGCTCTGTCCTGGTCATTTTTTGGGTTTGAGGAAGTCCCCTGGATTTGGAGATCCTTATCAAAAGAATATTCTTTAGGAATGATCGTGTTCACAGTGGGGGTTTAGTGTCAAGTCTTTTTGGGTTTATTCTTTTTAGAAGGGCCTCCACTGATGTAAATCCCAACATCGACAGTTGTTGGAAGCGGTTTAGTCATGACCACCATGGAATCACCTTGTTTGACGATAGCAGAAGGGTTATCAGTGGTGGAAATTGGAGTGCATGGGGAAGGCCGAGTTACAAGAAAAATTCCCGCCGCTACCATAGTAGCAGCATGTATAAGAGCCGAAATGGGAGTAGGCCCCTCCATGGACCTGTGTCCGCGTTCCCGAAGGCACCCCTCTCTTTCAAGAGGATTCACGGCATGTCAAGCCCTGGTAAGGTTCTTCGCTTTGCATCGAATTAAATCACATGCTCCACCGCTTGTGCGGGCCCCTGTCAATTCCTTTGAGTTTCATTCTTGCGAACGTACTCCCCAGGCGGGATACTTAACGCGTTAGCTACAGCACTGCATGGGTCGAGGGCTCCTTCTCCCTCCCCTTCTTCAAACTTCGATTCATATTTTTCATAGAGAAATCTCTGATTAAGAATAGAACAAGAGCCGTTTTGCATCATATCTATGGGATTCCTCGGTTCAGGCCGAAGAAGCAATGTCACTCGATCATTATCAAAGTGACTGCAATCTTTTTTTGTCCGTGAAGATCCCACCAGAGCGCTTTCTACTTCTAATAGGCCATGAACTAGATCAGAATCATTCTCAACTAGTCCATAAGAAGTGATCCCATTTTTTTCATCGGGTCCGGATAAAGACCAAAGATCTTGAGCGACCGATCCGGCAGAACAACTCAGTAAATAAGGCATATCTTGTCTAGGAAATTTTTTGGAAATGATACCTTTATTTCCGTGTCTTCCAGCTACTTTATCGCCTACTTTGATTTCACGTTTCTGTAAAATATATACACGAATCGTTTCGGGATTATAACTAGAACCACCCCTTTTCTGGATCCACCTCACATCAATAACCCGACCCCTGCCACCTATAGGTAGTTTT